GGAAAAATAGTAAATGCTTGTGGAATTGTTTCTTTAATATGTATATATTAAAATTAATTAATATACATATTATTCAAGTTAAGCATTTTGCATTAAAATTTTTATTTACACTTAAATATTGACTATTTAAAAACTGTATACAGGGGCTGGAGAGATGGCTCAGAGGTTAAGAGCATTGCCTGCTCTTCCAAAGGTCCTGAGTTCAATTCCCAGCAACCACATGGTGGCTCACAACCATCTGTAATGGGGTCTGGTGCCCTCTTCTGGCCTGCAGGCATACACACAGACAGAATATTGTATACATAATAAATAAATAAATAAATATTTTAAAAAACTGTATACACATATATATTAAAAATAGATTTTTTTCTTTTTTTTGTGACAGGGAAAGGCTGTCCTGGAACTCACTTTGTAGGCCAAGCCTGCCTTGAACTCACAGAGATCCACGTGCTTCTGCCTCCGGAGTGCTAGGATCAAAGGCGTGCTTCCCCATGCCTGGCTAGGAAGTAGATTTGTAAACAGTAATTTCTTTTAAACTTTTTAGTTTTTGAGAATTTCCTATGTGAGAACGGCATTTACGTCATTCCCCTTTCCTCTTCCCTCAAATGCTGTCATTTTCCTCCTACTCCTGAAATACATGACCTCTTATTCTTTCATTGTAATTGGCATGTGTGTGTAAGTTTGTAAGTACAACCTGCTGGGATAATTTAGTGTTGCTCATATATGTTTAGGAATGACCTTTTGGAATTGAGCAACCTATCAGGGGCTTGACCTGGAGAAGACTGATTCTCTCTCTTCCATAACCATTGGTTGCTTTTGGCTTTTCTAATGTAGGTCTTGTTAAACACTAATTTCTAATTTAAACTCAAGCTATTATTCTGTAATTATGCCTCACACAGACGAAGATTCCTCTATTATTATAAACATTGAATGTATTAAAAATTATTCTGTGTACCTTTGTGTCTGTGTGTGTCCTTATGTGTATCTTTGTGTGTGTCTGTGTGCGTCCGTGTGTATGTATTTGTTTGTGTCTGTGTGCGTCCGTGTGTGTGTATCTTTGTGTGTGTCTGTGTGCGTCCATGTGTATGTAT